CTGTGCAACCCTGTGAGAGACTCATGACAGGCCAGAGGCTGAAGAGGAGACAGTGGTCTGGCTCTCCCTCTGAAACACCCCCTCCCCCGCTATTGTCGTCAGGTGTCACCAGTTAAAGTTTTCTGCACCCCACTTGGGGCTCGTGTATCTCTTATGCAGCCATCTGAGTTCACCACCTACCCGGACAGCCGACGTCAGAACTCAGTGAAAGTCACAGTGCAGGGGAATCCGGCAGGCACACCGGCTCGGGCCTCTTGTGTTTTTTGCAGCAGCTTTGGGGCACTGTGCTCAGCTCCTCCTGGACAGGTCTGTGGTACTATTCTCTCCATTTTACATATGAAGTTTCCAAGTAGAGGGAGCCTGCCCAAGGCCCACCCCATGGCGGGGATGGGAGGGAGAGGAGGAAAACCAGCAGATTCCAGAAGTTTCTGTCTGACTCCTGCAAGCGTTATTACCCACTCTGCGGAGACTTGAAGCTGTTCATTGCGATGCAGTATAAGTGATCTAAAACCACCTTACCACTGTTAGATGTGGTCCAGCGACCCAAGCCCGTTCACACTGCTGTGTGACTCATCTCCAGAGCTGCAAAATCTGCTAGAGCCGAGACTCTGTCCCCACTAACTAACTTTCCACCCCCTCTCCCATTCTGCCTTCTACATCTTAGTTTGACTCCTCTGGGAATCTTCAGATAGAGAACCACGTATTGGCTTATTTCATTCAGCAAAGTGCCATCTAGGCCTGCTCACGTGCAAACAGGAACGGGAATGCCCTCATTTGTTTGTTTATTCATTGGTTTTTCGAGACAGGGTTGCCCTGTCTCCAGCTGTCCTGGAACTCACTCTGCAGACCAGGCTGGCCTCGAACTTGTAGAGATCCGCTTGTCTCTGTCTTCTGAGTGCTGGGATTAAAGGTGTGTGCCTGGCAATTTCCTTCTTTTTAAAGGCAGAGTAATAATTTCTCTGGGACAGACCCTTAGGGTTGTCATCAGTGGCACTGGGTTTCCTTCCTCTTTTGGACACTTGTGACAGATGCTGCTGAGAATGTGGTGTGTAAATATTTCCTTTTGGGGAGGGGTGTGTATGGTGTGACTGTGCATGTGTGTGTGCACACGTTTGTGCACGACATGGTGTTCCAGAAGTGGGGTGCCAGGATATACTTTGTTTCTCCTCCCAGACACACTCAGCGGGGCAGAGGTCCTGAGAGAAGCTGAGTGCTACTTAGTTGCTCTCCAGAGACGGAGGCCAGCCGTGGTCACCGCCCATCAGACTCAGTGTTGTTTGTGATCAAGGGAATCATGACTTTGATATCATTGTCTGACAGGGAGTGGGTATCTCCTGATTGGGTCCCTCAGCTCCTAGCAAGTCTTTCCCTTGCGGGCATATGGACATAGACTTACTTCTTCCGTGTGCACTGAGGTCTAATGACAGTCCCATGACATTCCGCTGAATGTCCACACTGACATTGAGAATGTGGTGCTCAAGGTGTAGAGTAGCTATGGTGTTTGTTTAGACCTTCTGTTATGTGGTTTGTTTCTTCCTCCCCGACTTGTCTGACCGTCACAGGGACGGGTGATTGGGTCCCCCGACCCCTCTCATTCACTAAGACAGTAACATTTGTGTAGCAGCATCTTGAGGGGGCGGGCACCATCCCATGTGCTAACCCATTGGAACATTTCATTTCGTGAGTAAAATGCCAAGGTTGAGGGCTGGTGAGCCTCCCTACCCCCACCTGCTTCCCTCTCTCCACCCACCATCAGTCCATAGCCCATAAAAGATGGAAGAATAGGTTCTACCAACCTCAGGAAAAGGTGGGTCCTCTCAGGTCAGACTCATCCAGGACTGGAGGGGAGGTGTGAGTTCCCTGTCACAGAAGGAGCCAAGTGGTGGAAATGACCAGGCAGGAGCTGTGGTGATGTTTATTTGTACTTTCACAAATAAAGCTTGCCTGACAGTCAGAGAAGCAGATCAGTCAGCCACTAATTTTTACTTCTACGAAATCCTCAGTCTGAATGGGGTATCCTGTCTCTACAAGTCCTCAGACTGAATCCTGAGCTCCTGTCTCCTCCCACCTTACATTCCTCTCTCTGCCCAGCCACATCACTTCCCACCTGCACCTCCCTAGTGCGGGGCTTAAAGGTGTGAACCACCACCACTTGGCTCTGTTTCTCTTTTAGACTGATTAAATCTCACATAGCCCAGGGTGGCCTTGAACACACAGCGCTGGGATTAGAGGTGTGTGCCACCATCGACTGGCCTCTATGGCTAACTAGTGTGGCTAGCTCCGTACTCTGATCTTCAGGCAAGCTTTATTTGTGAAAGCACAAACAAAATATCGCCAAAGGATCTCCCGGAGGACTTGGCCAGAGTTTGTGAAACTTATTTAGAAGCAGAGTCTGGGGATGACATTCCTACATATCACCGGAACCCCGTAGAGGCTCTGCGGACACACTGCCGATACATCTTCAGGCGTTTCTTTTCTTCTGTGATTGGGAGAAGACTGGGGCAGTGACAGAGATGGTGACCATGTGTGCTTGGGGATCCGGACCTGGAGCTTCCTTGTTCACACCCAGAGCCTTGACAGTTCTCCATGGCACCAGTTCTTAGATTCCATCCTCCAACCCTTGAGCTTGCTCTTGAACCTGGTGAGGCCTCTGTGTCCTCAGTCTGAAATGGATCAAGTGCCTTGTAGGGCTGGAGGTAGAAGGGCACGTGATGGTGGTTAGAGCCTGGCTCACGTGGCTTCTGGAGCGACGTGGTCTCTGCTCACGTCTGGCTGTGAGTCACCCTCTGCTGTTGCTGTCACCTTGGGTTCCCACTGACCCTTCTTTCTCACACCAGCCCCGTATTTTCATCTCGCCAACTTTATCCCCTAAATATTTATTTTTCCCGGCATCTGTCCTCTGTGTTGCCACCAGCGTTGTTTATTCCCAAGTTTGACCTTTACATGCCAGATGCTCTCACCAACTCTGTTGCCGATGGCAGATGGTCCTGATGCTTGCCTGACCCCTCACCTGGTTGCACTGTTGGAGGCTCAGTGGGCATCTGGAGCCCCACACACCTGCTCTCGGCCTTCATGGGAAGGCAGTTGGGTCTAGTTCAGAGGGAATGAAACCCAGGAGGTGGTTGCAGTGGGGTCTTTCATAGTCTGGCCCCGGATTCTTCAGCAACGTCTCCTGTCACACTGTTGGCCACTTGTCAGGTGCACCAGTCACCTGAGGGGTCACTGAACTTTCATCCAAAATGTTGGCCCCACTTGGGTTCATGAAGATCCAGATCCTAGATCCTCATATTCTCATGAAAATAATTCTAGGTTCATCTGGACTGGATTGTATGGTAGTGGTGATCATGATGCTAGTGATGGTGACCATCATGGTAATGGTGACCATGGTAGTGATGGTGACCATGATGGTGATGGTGACCATGATGGTGATGGTGACCATGATGGTGATGGTGATGGTGATCATGATGGTGATGGTGACCATGATGGTGATGGTGATGGTGACCACGGTAGTGATGGTGCCCATGCTGATGCTGATGACTATGATGATGCTGGTGACCATAGTGGTGATTATAGTGGTGATAACAAGGATGGTGGTGACTATGGCAGTGCTTTTCTGGTGATAACCATGGCAGCGTAACAGTGACTAGAATGTGAGTGGTTGTGCTCATGGTAGTGGTGCTGCTGGTGGTTGTGTTGGTAAAGGCAGTGACAGCCCCTGCCCTAAGCAGCTCTGTGAGGAAATGTGAGTCTCAGCACTAGCAGAGAAGCTTCACTGAAGTCTTTTATGCCAGTGGCTTAAACACTGGGTGCTGGAGGCATCTTAACTTTGCCTCGGGATGGCAAATCATGCTTGGAGCTTTGGTGTCCTGTCAGTGACGGAAAGAAGTGCACTTCCAAATGGCAGCACAGCCTTGGTGCTAGGGGAAGGACTTTGGGAACTGCCATTGCTGTTCTGATGCCCTTGTGGAGACAATGCTGTTGTGTGTGTCTGTGTCAAGGAGAAGCAAAAGCTTTACAATTCCTGACCTCCCCGGGACTGACGCCTAGCAGGGAAGCGTGCTGTGCTTCCAGAGGGAAATCCCATAAAAGCCCCGCTGAGCTAATGACAAGGGAACTGGAACATCGATTGCCCCACAGTCTGTGTAAGCCCTTGAGCAAACATGTGCCTCCCTTGTCATCCCTTGTCATCTGACGGCCACAGCGTATCCCAGCTCGGTGTCTCGGGTGCTGAGAGTTTGTCTGTCCCTCTTCTGCCTATGCCTGTAGTTCCATTGGTGGCCATGGGCAATGCTGAGGTTCTAAACAGAAGTATCAGCGATAGGGTGTATCTTCATGTGATTTCTGAAAAACTAAAGCCCTCCGTGAGGAAACAACGGGATAAACATTTCTCCCACTCTGCCGATTAAGTTGATAAATCATGGAACAAAATGTCGGTACTCGTAAGCAAGTGCAAGGCATGCTGGGAATGCCACCATCACTCCTAAGAACATGTGGCCATAGATCTTCCACTGAGGCATGCTCTCCATGACCAGGATGAAGGCTTCACGCAGGTCCCTCAGCATTGCCACCACCCTTCCATCACAACAGGCCCTTGGCTGCCTGCATCTATCTACCTACAAGTGCCTGGTGTCTCCCCGTCCAAAGGAGGTCTCTCCAGATTCACCACTAGGTGCACCCACAAGATTTGACACCTCTGAAGTTTGAGAACTCCAACTCTGGTTAGGGTAGATCCTTGCCCATTACACTGGAAAAGTGGAAAGGTATAGATGGCCCTGCTTCTTGAACCTCGTTGGTCCTCTTCTTCTTGGGAGGTTGGCAGTAGTGATTATTGTGATGAAAGAGATGATAGTGATTCTGATCAAGTGAGGACGGATGAGGATGGTAGTGATGGGGGTGATGATGATGGCATAATGGATGGGAGGTGATGATGATGGCTGATAGAGATGATAATGATATGCTGGTGGTGATAGAGATGATTAATGGAGGTGGTGACGACGGTGATGATTGATGGAAATAGTGATGATGCTAATCATGGTAATGGCTATGGGGATGATGCTGATGGTGGGGATGATGGTGATATCAATGGTGATGAGACTGATGGAGAGGATGGTGTGGTGGTGATGAGTGATGGGAGATGATGGTTGTGGTAATGATAGTGATGATGGTGATAATAATTATGGAGAGATGATTAGTATGACACTGTCATGGTTTACTAGTGTTAGGGAATGACTGAGGAGATTCCCAGATTAGGAGCCCTGTGTTAGCCAGGGTTCTCTAGAGGAACAGACTGATAGAATGAGTCTCTCTATATATAGAAAGGGAGAGTATTAGAATGACTTACCGGCTGTGGTCCAGCTAGTGCAACAATGGCTGTCTGCCAAGGGAAGGTCCAGGAATCCAACAGTTGTTCAGTTCATGAAGCTGAGTGTCTCCGATGGTCCTCAGCACATGCCGTAGTCCTGACAAAGTAGGCTCTCATTCCCGGTGAAAGAATGCACTTGTCAGTGAGAGCTGGCAGCAGGTGAGGCCCAGATTTAGGGTGGATCTTCCCACCTCAAAGATCCAGACCAGAAGTGTATTTTCCTACTTCTAATGATTTAATTAAGAAAAAAAATCCCTCACAGGTGTGCCCAGCTGCTTGGTTTTTAGTTCATTCCAGATGTAGTCAAGTTGGCAGCCAAGAACAGCCATCACTGGCTCAGGTCTAGAACTTGGAGTTCCTCCCCCGCGTATGCAAGGCGTGGAACCCTCCTGAACCTCAGTTTCCTGCCTGTAGAATAGAGACAGCAATAGTTTCACAAGCTCCAAGGCCCATGCCAATGGTAGTATTTTATCATAGCTCAGGGCTACACTAGATTTTTCTTTTTACAAGTTAAAAATATTCTTTCTATTGTAAGCTAACTCCTAGGTGCAGAATACCATACAAGCGGTGTGTGGCCTAATGAGTCATCCTAGAAACACCACCTATGCCAAGAACTGGACTCTGTCAGCAACACTCAAACCCTCCCACAAAATGACCTCCAGCCACTTCTGAAGAAATTGTCCTGTCTTTTTTTATTAACCGCTTTTCTTGAACTTTCTAGGTGTTTTCTCACCTGAAAGTATGTTTCTAGACCTGATACTTCAGTCTGATCCTATTAAACAACTGGATGTTTTCAGATCTCTCTTAACCCAAGGTCCCTTATCTGCTCTGTCCTTTCTTTTTCATTTTGTGTGTTCACGTATGTGATGTGTGTAATATATGTACATGTATGTGATGTGTATGCATGAATGAACTTGTGTGTAGTGGGTATGTAGCCATTAATGTGATCTTGGAGGCCAGAGGCTGTCGGTGTCTCACTCTGAACCAGGGGCTCATTTTTCAGCTAGGCCTTCCGGCCAGTGAGCTCTCCCAATCCTCCAGTCTCTACCCGACCCCAGCACTGAGGTAGCAAGTGTATGTATGTGAGCGGGGTCATACCTGGCTTTTTACACGAGTGCTAGGGATCTGAACTCAGGTCCGCACGCTTGTGCAGCGAGTGCTCTTGCTGAGGTCTGAACCACTCCCATGCCTGTTATCTTTGTAATTTATTCGTTAAACAGCCTGGGACATTTGAATGACAAATTTCTAAAAACTTGAATTTTGATCAATTTTATTCTGTTGGTACAATTCAGTGTGTTCTTTTAGCTGGTGCATTTCTATCCCTAGACTCTGGCAAAGCCACAGGTGTTGTATGGCAAAGCTAGACACATAATAATTTGGGCTATACTTGATTACATTGTATAAAAGCATCGATTGTGTGTCTGTGAGTGTGCCATGGTTTGTGTGCGGAGCTCACAGGACAGTTTGTGGGAGTTGACTCACTCTTTCCACCGTGTGGGAATTAAACTGAAGTTGTCCAGTGTGGTGGCAAGTACCAGCCCCCTAACTGTACTTGATTTATTCCATGGCTCCATAGCAGGAGGGAAACGTGGTTCCAGGTTGATCTCAAGTGGTTGCTGTTTGAATGTTTCTGTTTGTCCATGTTGGGTTATTTTAGGCTAGATTTTAGAACATTTCATCCAAGAACAAAGTTTAAAGATTTATACACAAAAGGTCTGAGTAGCTTAGTGATGATAGAGACTTGTCTAGCATGAGTGGGGCCCCCATTGTCCAATCCTCAGTAGCACAGACAGACAGATAGACTGACAGACACATACATGAGAGATAGAGAGGGAGAGAGAGAGAGAAGATTATCTGTCAGGGCTCTCTCCCTACTCCATGATGCACTCCTGTGCGTGCTCTTCCAGGCTTGCCCGCTGGCTCTGAAGAGGGGCTTCTTCTCTCATTCTGTGCTCAGGTTCCACTAAGGAGCCTTTACAGTGTGTGCATGTTCACACTGCAGCCCGCTGCCTGCACCAGTGAGTGCCCTGAGCCCAGGGCCTAGGGATGGCCAGATTTCCCTGACAGCCACCAGTGCTGTCTAGTTTTGCAGCCCACTGCTGGGCGTGGGAAGTCTAATCCCTCTCCCTTTGTAGATTATTAAGAACCATTCTCACCCCATTTCCCTGTGCATACATTTCCATCCAAACCCAGACTGATGTTTTCCTCTGGAGCATTGTCTCATGGTGCTGCTGGCTCCAATCCATCACAGTGTGGGTGCCGTCTCATTCTCGGATTCTCCCCTTAGCCCCAGGAGCCTCCATCCTCACGAAATCCTGCTACTCTGTAACTTACCTCTAATGAGCCACTTAATAAGCAAGCAGTGATCTCCACATGAAAACCCCAATTTCCAATGCCTTCTATAAACCCTGCTAGCAATAATTCCCAGAAACAAAACCTGAAGTTAATGACAATCGACAACCTCCTCTGATGTGGGATGCCTTTCCCTGTCTAAGTTTGTCCATGGACCCTGTGGTCGTTGCTGGGCAAGTAGCCATGAGTTGCTGGATGAGGGAGCCTTGCAGGACAAGCCAAACTGTGTGGTCCTGTGGAGGAGTTAGGAAGACATGGGCTTGGTGAGTCCAGACTTGGCTGGCAGCCCTGCACGCTCTTAATATAATTAAACTTTCCAGCCTCGGCTTCCTCATCTGTAAAATGGGTTTAGCATTATCAGTGTTGAGGGCTTGCGGAGGAAGGTGATGGTGACCTGTGCCTACAGTTGGTGCCCAGAGCTTGTTCTCATCTCCTTTTCACTGTCCTGTTGTCCATCATTTGCTCCCTTTTGCCATGAGATTGGACGATGGCCAGACACTGCTCAGAGTGATGTGTGTGTGTGTGTGTGTGTGTGTGTGTGTTGGGTGTCTCTCTGGGCTGAACCACAGGCTCAAAGTGGAGAGGGACCGTGGTCTGTCACACCTGGCTGAACCAGGTGAGAACCAGGTTAAGGCCACATTCCTGCTCCCTCTAGAATGGTGATCGGGGAGTTGGCATTTACCAGGTGCCATGTGGGAGTCCCGAAGTCCCCAGGGCAGCACAGCCTGGCCTGGGCAGTGGGGTAGTGTGTGAGGCGAGTCATTGCCGCAGCAGGGTTGCCATGGTAACCGGTGCATTTACACTAAATCTCATTTGTGGTCCACCCTTTTGTCAATCTTTTTTCCCCCAGAATTCTCAGAATCAATCCCCCTGTCCTTGAGCGGAGTGCCCTAGGTACTGCTGCCATCAGCTCTCTTTTCCCGTTGCTCCCTGGAGGAGTGTTCTGTGTGGCCCCGGGGATGACGGGGATGGCGGCAGTCCTCCCTCCCTCCAGAAGGAGCACGGGTGTAGGCCTGGCGGAGACTCGGTCTGAGCCCGGCCCACTCTGTACCATCAGGACCGCTGTGTACTCACCTGGTGTCTTGTTCTTGGTTTCCTCCTCTGCAATATTCGCCTAAGACTGTGTGTTCATGGCTCCAGAGATTGTGTGTGCACACTAACTGGACGCCAGGCGCTGGATAAGGTGCTGGGCAAGTCCAGATCTGGAGGCCTAGGGCCTGCCATCGGCAAGTTCAGAGCTAAAGCGGAGGCAGGTCTCTGTATAGCATCTTGGTGAGATGAGGGAAGTTTGCCAGGGCCTCCCAGCCTTGAGGAGGCTGCTTGAGAAGTGTCTCCTAGGGCGCTGGGAGTGACACAGGGAAGGTTTGTTAAAGGGACAGGAGAGACCAGCTCCTCAACCCACTCTCTCTTCCCTCCCTCCCTCCTCTTTCCTTCTCTCCCTCCATCTCTCTTCCAGGTCTCTCTTACTTTCCTTCTCTCTTTCTCAGACTGATTGGACAACCAAGCCTGGTCTTTCTCCGGTTTCTTTCATGCCTTTAGTCCCAGAGACAAACAGACCCTTTCCTCGGCCCCTACCCCCACCCTCATTCATGCCTGCAGACGGCAGCTCCAGAGAAGCCAACAAAGCTTGGGAGTTATTTATTTCTCGTTCTGCAGAAATGTTTATTCGAAGGCAGGAGGCAAGGTGGAATGGTTTGATTTGATTAGCAAGTCTAAATGTATTAGCCACAAGACAGAAACGATATTACAATTAGTGCTAATTAGCCATGCTGATGACTCGGAGCTCAGCGCGGGGTGGCAGATGTTGGTTCTTGGTCCCGGGTTAACCTGAGAGGGCACAGTCCCCTTGTGAAGTGTCTCAGTTCCCTGGGGTGTCCGACCCTGGACCAATTATGGTCAAGACTGAGTAAAAGCTAATTAGTCACGTTGGGGAGACTCAGGTGCACACTTTATAGTTATATGTAAAGTGACTCCATGGTACTTAAGGAGACAGGGGGGGGATGCCTGCAGAACCCCCAGCTACCAAACTGCCCTGAATTAACACCATCAGTGATGGGGGCATCTTTTGTACCCTCTGCACTCTCTCCCTCTCTCTCTCATCTTTGTGTGTGTGTGTGTGTGTGTGTGTGTGTGTGTGTGCGCGCATGTGCGTGTTGTGAGCTCGCATGGGAGTGCATGGTACACATGTGGAGGTCAGAGGACAGCTGTAAGCATTGGTTCTCATCTCCCACCTTGTTTGAGATGGGATCTCTTACTTGTTACTTTGTCCGCTAGGCTGACTGGCCTGTGACCTGTGGGGATTCCCTCTCCACCTGTCCTGTCTTGCCAGACACACATCACTGTGTCCAGCTGTCTGAGTGTGCTGGGGATCTGAACTCAGGTCCTCATGCCTGTA